AAACCGCAAAAAAATTAGAATTTTTTTTTTTTTTTTTTTTGTTGCGAAGGAAGAGAAAAATGCATTATGCATTCCCACCGGCCGGTCCGGTGGGGTATGCGGGACTCACACCCGCTAAAAAACTCTCCCTGCAGAGCCAGTCTTTGGCTTCCATATATATATGGAATATGTCCATATATTTATATCTCAGTGATATATTATAATATCATCTATTGATATATTATAATATTGTAAAAACGAAAAATTAAACATATATATATATACACATATGTTCCATGTTACATAAATTTAACTCTATGGATCATTTCTTCGACTGTATTATAAGAAAATGTTAGTTTATATAAAAGATTTATACAAAAATACACATGCACATATAATTAATAAATCATTTAACTGGTAAATAATAAATTATCTGCAAACATATTTTTATTAAATAAATATACATAAAAATTTATCTTCTTCATGTTCTAAAGTATATATATTAGTTTTTAACGTAATGCTACTTGTTAATCCTGTAGTTCTAATATTGCAGTTTTACAATATATATATATATATATATCTTTAGTCTTTATATAGTATTTTTGTAGGATTACATAGGATTTCATAGGATATTTAAACATAAATTAAAGAGATATTCTCATGTATACAAATTTTGTTTTCTTTTATATATAATAAAAAACATTCAGTATAATATATGAGAGATTCTATCTTTTCTCTCCGCTCTATCTTTAAAAAATGACAATGACAGAAAATCAATTTTCAATTGTAATATGATATACATCAGCAGATATTTTCGTCTCTCCACATAGACATCTACAACTCTTGTCGCCTGTAATTCATTGATATTTATTTCGGCTTCCGCCATAAATTTCCACTCACATTCCGGATGTGTGCTCGATCGACGGCACTGTCCCCGACACGTTAGTCCTATCAGCGGCGATTTGACACTTGACCCTTGACGCCGGTCTGAGTGTCTGTGTCGGCGGATAAATCGCGAACGTCCCGCGGAATCCGCAGTCCCTCGTCGTTCATCGGGCGATTAATTATACTTGCACAGCACCGAATTCTGTCACCGATCACGTGTAGATCGCGTCCCCCTTTTGCATTTCGCAAAACTCATGCTGTTCACGCGCGCGACGTTTCGGCGTAGAAGGTGAACGATAGATAAGCTCGTTTTTTTTTTGCGTCTCGCCGCGATACGAGATTTTTTTCTCGATGTTTTATCGAGCGATATGTGCCAGCATACGCAATGAGAAAACGGATTGAGGATGTACATGTGGAGATAATTCGTGATCGCCCTAGGAAATCATGCATTAAGTGACGCGCGGAAGGATTATTCGCAAAAACGTTTAAGTGATAAAAGTTCACGTTTTCACGCGTAAAGCACGCAGTCCTTTTCTTCTTCAAGATCCATCCGGAATTGGGTCGCGCAGAGAGCGCGTGTTGATTGATCTTAAAGTCGACTCGACCTACTTCTAGTTCTAATTATTCAAAATCGTAACAGAGATAATATTGCAATTTATAATCTAATATTTCGAAAACATCAAGAATTAGCAGATATTAAGAATAAGTATTCTCTAAACATCGAGATTCGAACTACAAAACCACGAGACGCATCGAGTAAGAAATTGTTTATTAAATTCGAATTATTTCGTATAATCCCTTTCTTTCTATTGAAGGAAGAATCTATGATTTATGCACGTGCAACTTCTCTTTCGATTTTTTTACAATTTGTAACTTATAACTATCTTCATCAAACAGAAAATAAAGATATTTTTTAGAAAAATTTTTCTTTTCTATTTGCTAGAAGTAAAAGTTAGAAATATTTCTAAAGAAAGTTGAAAAAAACGATCATAAATCGTATTTATATTATAAAAAGAGAGTTATCTAGCATCATCCCCACGTCAAAAATATTCCATCGATGTCGTTGGTATCGACGTTTTGTCATATCAGAGTTACTCACTATTTGTGAAAATAAATAACAGCGAGTTATTTACATAGATATATATGTTTTCAATTCGAATTTCAAGATTTAGAAAAATTAATCTCGTATCTACTCTTTTAAATTTTCTATTTTTTAAAAGGATTAAATATATTCCTAATTTCACGTATAAATATATATATATATATATTTTTTTTTTTCTTGGGCGCGTCGTTTCATCCTAAATACGTAGAACATTAATCAGGTTTTATTGTTCGACAAATTGCATTATATCGATATGTCGATACGTGAGTACAAGCGAGGGAGGATTCTTAATTGAACTATATCAACAATTTTATTCGATAAAACTATATTCTGCGAACACGTATTACGTCATATAAAAGAATCCTGTACAAATTAATATATATTTTTTGCTTTTGCCATAAATTACTTATGTATTAAACTATAATATGCGGTTTTGAATTATTACGTATTACATATTATTATTATTATTACGTAATCTTGTGTACAAGTAAGGCTTTTGATTTTAATCTAAGCGTGTTTTTGGATGAAAACATGATGGTTTGTTTTTTTGTAAAATAATAACGTAAACGATTGTTTGACTGAAATGAGACAAGTCAGCGTTGTATCGACTTTGTCTGCACATTCGTCTGCATTATATTGTGAAAATAACGAGGACCTAGATAAGGATCGCGACATTTATTGATGCCCGTCGAAGAAGATTATTTTTCCCTGGCATATATGTTGAAATCTCTTATCGGACCTTTTATACTGTACGTATAGATAAGACACTCTGCGTTTTAAATTATTCGATTCTTAGTAATTTCTTCCGCATTTATCTGCACGATCCATAATACAAACTTCTGTATTTGTTGTTGTCCAGAAAAATGAATGATATTACGCTTAATACTGTTTTGCAACTATCTTCCTCCATGCATTTATCCGCAATATAGTGTTGATAAATTAATGCTGCCAAAACAAATATCTATATCGCTCAAAGCCCGAAAAATCGTATCGATGGAATGAAGATAATTGAAGAAAAACAGCTCATTAATATGTTATATATTATCTTAACGTGTTCCCCCGATGATGCACTTTGCGCTTCGGGGCCGAAGTTTAGTTCCGTGTCTCTGGCGCATGTTTAGCACATGATATGCCACGCGGATTTGGTACTTTGAACGCAATCTGCGTTGATATTTTAATATTAAGATCCTCGCACAGTAGCGCGTGTAACGTATTGCGTGAGATACATTGTGAGGGACCTCTCGTAAATCTCTCGCCGTACAACAACAACATACATTTGTTGTTCTCCTCTTTGCAAAAAACAGCCGTGCAAATTGTGGTCATTTCTTGGAGAAGTTCGTAATTCACACAGTTAAAAAAGGTTTGCGGACTAATTCGAGCCTCAATACCTCCTACAATACGCTCGGACCTGCGCTGAACATGCTTCGCCAGATCGGCGGAAAGTAAGCCGAGTCAGTATTACAACGCACCCCGCACGACAAGGGTTGATCATTCATCAATAGTTGATGAAGACGACGCGAAGAGACGAGGCGATTACGAACGGATCTCTCTCGATTGGCGAAGATCATCTCGAAATATACTATTCGGCACTTGGTGCGCTTTGTACGGTTCTTCTACAGTGTTCTCTCACACAGTTTTCTCTCATTTTAAACTACAGCTTAAAGGCGATTCCATCAAAGAAGAGAGTTTAATTTATTCTGTAAGATAAAAAAATTTAAACACGCTTTATAAAATTATGATACTCGAATCTTTATATATATATATATTTTTGTTTCTTTAAACATTTTCTTCACGCTAAGTATTTTCTAGGAGGATCAGCAAAACACACACACACGTAAAAATTAAAAGATTGAAAGATTCTTGTAGCGAATTACATTTTTCCGAATTTCCAACAATCAATATAAAAAAAATTGTAATTTATTTGAAAAATAATAATTTATAAATTTTTCTATGTTCCGTTACTTTTTTATTTTAATTATGTTTATATATATATAATTGTCTACGTATCAAATTAAATCGAAAGCCATATTTAACTGTAACGTAAACCTTTTGAACGTGATTGCTATGTTTAAAGATCGGGTCGTTAATTACAGATAAATCATTCATCAAACATTTGTCGCGTCAAATTGAATCGGATGTTGTATCTCATGTCAACCCCTTTGAACGTGACTGCTTTGAACGTTTAGAGATCGAGTCGCTTACCACGAATAAATCATAGGCTGGTGAACACTTGATGACGTATTTCTCCGCGAATTGTTGCATGTTCTACTGAAATGTTTCGCGAACATACTACTGTTTCCCAAATTGTCCGAGCTAAAAGTACGAACATGAGATCGTCTCGAATGAATTCGCGTCACATGTATAATCGGACGTACTCTTGTTCTTCAAGATTTCCTTCGGCATTTTCTAAATTTTAGGCAAAAATAAAAAGAGAATTTAATTAATTCTATATAATTGGAGCGAAGAAATAGTCCCTTCGCAAAAAAAAAAAAGCTCGTTTTCATTAAATCTAATGCGATGATTGCAGATGAAGTAATAAGCTCATCCTCAACAATATGGCGATGCAGTTAAGCGAAAGTGAGAATGAAGAAAGTGTCAAGTGCAACGACACGGAATTGCCGAGCGAAATGCGTTTCAATGACGGTCACCTCGTGACGATAATCACTTACAGCATTCTAATGATAATATCGGCCGCCGGGAACATTACCGTGCTGATAATGACTATAATAAAGAAGCGAAAATCCAAGTCTCGTATACACACTCTCATAATGCACTTGTCGATCGCCGATCTCCTTGTAAGTATTCAAACATAATTAACGCGTACTCAAACGCACAATTAACTTGCGATAAGTAATCATATCGCTGCGATCTGTAAAAGCGCGATGATTGAAATTTGATGTGAAATTTTATCGAATTTAATTATTATCTAGGTGACATTCTTAATGATGCCGTTTGAAATCGGATGGTCGATAACAGTATCGTGGGAAGCCGGAGACGCGATGTGTCGTATAATGGCTTTCTTCAGGATGTTTGGTCTATACCTTTCATCCTTTGTAATAGTTTGCATAAGTATAGACAGGTCGGTAATAACAATCTTGATAAATCGCGATTATTTTATATAAGACACAAACGATAAATTTTTCTTTTCTTTTTTATTTATTTCGTTGAATATCATGATATATTCAAATAAATGATATGTATAATAATTATGCATACATATATACTCGATCTATGGTGCGTTTGAAATCCTATAATCGCATTTAGAATATATATTTACCTGTTTAATGTAACATTACAGATATTACGCTGTAATGCGGCCTCTCCAGATACTGGATGTTTACAGGAGAGGAAAAATAATGCTGATGTTTGCGTGGATTGGCTCCGTGCTGTGCTCCTTGCCGCAGGTGCGCTAATTAGCACATAATTGGCACGAGATCACACGATCTCACTCCATTATCCTGGCAAATTTAAACGCATAACTTTCTTTGTTCTCCGCAGATGTTGGTGTTTCATCTCGAGACGCATCCGAATTACACCTGTTACACCCAATGCGTAACTTTCAACTTCTTCCCGTCATACGTGCACGAAATTTCCTACTCTTTATTCAGCATGTTGATAATGTATTGGTTCCCACTCATCGTAATATTCTACACTTATAGCAGTATTTTCATGGAGATCTGCCGCAGGTCCAAAGAGAAGAGCGAAGGTACGGCCGATATGATTTATCGCGCTACGAGAATTATTCGAAAACATATACGAGATTTATTATGAAAACACATTTCACATGCAAACACACTCTCAATCACACATACACATACACAAAATGTTGCATTATATCGCTATTTCTCTTATTTTATTCGCAAAGTCCCCTAGAGTGGCATGTTATTTAATCAATGCACATTCTCTTGCAGATAAAATACGTCGTTCCTCGAGCGGTTTTCTAAATCGAGCGCGGGTACGCACTTTAAAAATGACGATAACCATTATTGCCGTATTTATTATCTGTTGGAGTCCTTACTACGTGATGAGTGTTTGGTTAGTGACAACTATTTTTCGATTTTCACAGAATCCTCTTTTCTTCCCTCGCTAACTTGAAATTATATTCGCAATAATAATGACACATTCCGCAAAATCAGCGAAATCGACCGAGGCGATTATGTGAAAATATTGACTTTCGACGCGACCAATGTTCATGGTCACAGATAGCCTTATATAAATTCAGCTCTATTAAAAGAAAATAATAATAATAATAATATCCCAGATTTTAAACTTCTTACTTGAGAAATTTGCTGTTTATTTGCATAATTATTATTGTTAAATAGGTACTGGTTCGATCGATCGTCAGCCCAGAAAGTCGACAAACGCATTCAAAGAGCCCTTTTCTTCTTCGCGTGCACCAATTCCAGCATGAACCCCATCATCTACGGTATTTTTAACATACGTCAGAGAAACAAAGTAAGTATCTATTACCTAAAACCTGAAAGGATAATAACACTAATTCTAATAAATTTTCTTCTTAAAAGTTTTTTTCTCGATTTATTATTATAATTTTATTATCCTTTGTTTTCTTTTTTATTGTGATTCAAATATTCCAATATGTGATAAGATTTTTATAAATTTAAATTATGGGAAAGAGAGAGAGAGACAAAGTTTTGCGTAATAACTTTTCAGATATTAATTAAATATACGTAACGAACTTACTCTAATAAAAATTATATTCAATTCAAGCGTGAAATAGAACTCGATACAGGACGAATTAATATAATCATCATGTTAACACGATTATTTGCGCCTATGTATTGTTAACGCGTGATTTGTAACACATAATTTCGTCTTACAATTGCCAAAGCGAACTCGCACTACTAATCGCAAGGAGAAAATATCAAAAAAAAAATATTACTCAATTTTTTATTAACAAAAACGTATATTCTAACACATTTATCTCTCTATCCTACTAATATATTCAAGCTGCCTGTTATACTTATACTTCCAGGCAAAGATTCAATCCCATCCCCTTTTGAGATGCATCAACACAACTATGGAACTTCCAGTAGTCGCATACGCCAAAGATTCCATTTTCACCATTTTCGTAATTGCCTTGCCGATTCTCTTTAATCCCTCGACTTCATATAACAGACGCTCATCGCATGATCGTGGTAATTATGTGCATCCTTATTTTATCATTTTATCCTTGCTATTAAAATTCACAAGTAAGAAAACTCTGCTTGATCTAACACAAAAATGATGACATTGTTCTTTTATGGAAACAAATAAAAGAAATGCAGAGTTATCGCAAGTATAAAGACGATGCAAAGACATGTGAATTTTCCAAAATATCGATTAGACATTTCGAAGAGTTTCGAATCTGTTTTCCTTACAAAAATCTTTGCTCTCTAATTTCTAGGCGCCGATGCGTGCAGCCACCATGGAGACCCGGCTCACGCCGCTGTCTCTGTCGGTCAAGCTCCTCGATTGACAATGAACGCGACGTTCGCCAGATCAAACAGATGTGTCTAGAAGAATTAACCGACGTCTCGGTGCGTATTCGCATCTTTCTATGAAAAGGAGCAATCATGCAATTGTGACTCGAACGACACATATTCGCCGTCCATACGCGATGCAAACCCTATATAGCATCGTGTACACAGAACTATTAAAAAAAGTCTTCTATTTATATATTTTCAAATA